ATCTTGGCAGTATCATCTTCAGAGAAGAGGCTCAGCGCATGTGTGGCTCAGAATTGGTGAGTCTTAAAGTTACAGTTGGAGGAGGTGAGAGTCTCTCATGGTGTCTTCAATAGTAGCCACCAAATCCAGATCCATAGCCAGAGCCACATCCATAGCCACAGCCATAGAGAGAACGTGAGCCATAGCCGTAACCACAACCATAGCCACAGCCCAGTCCACGGTAGCCAGACCCATAGTAGGAGCCATAGCCACAGCCCAGGCTTCCAAAGCCACAGCCTAGGCCTCCATAGCCATAGCCCAGACCTCCATAGCCACAGCAGCCATAGCCTCTGCCTCCATAGTAGTTTCCGTAGTAGCCACACATGGTGTTGGTTGTTGAGGTTGTTCTTGGGTAGAGAAGGAGTGTAAGTGAGTTGAGTTTGTAGAGTTCTGCCTGCAGAGAGGGCCTTTTATATGCTCTCAGTGTGGGTGGGACCTGCCATGGACTCCTGTCATTGGCTAATTTTATGACTAATATATTAATATGCTGTTAAAAGATGCTTAAAGCGTTAGAGAAGCATTCTTTACAAACCATTGTAGCTTTAATCAGGTTTTGCTGCAATGTATACAAAGCTACAGTTCACACCAGGTATTTGGTTGTAGTTTTAAAGCAAACTGTATGTGAGTATGGAGTATTTTCAATAGCTTTAGTTGGCTAGCTTTAACCACAGAATATTATTTTAGTCTTGACCTTCAACAACTAGCCATGAGATACTTTTTAACACTTCTTTAGACCAAGGTAGATTGTGGATTATTTGGTGGCTACTGAAAATATAAAGATTATACAAGGCAGTTTGGAAGATCCCCTATATTTACTCAGCAGATATGTGAAGAAGTGCAATTAACTGATTTCATCAACTTTTATAAGAATTCAAGTGAAGAAATGAGAATTTAAACACAATGAAAAAGTCAAATAGTTTTTATTCACTCAAATTTCTATACCTGTGTTTTTCTCTACACTGGTTTCTAAACATAATGCTAAATACACTTAGAAGAAATCTGTATTTCTGTTTAAATTTTTGAAAACAATTATTATTTATTTTATTTTGTGTGTGTTTATTCCTGTTTTTCCTAAATGCATGTCTATGCACCACTTGTGTGCATGGTGCCTATGAAGGCCAGAAGAGGGTGTCTTATCTCCTGAAGCAGGAGTTATATGGTTGTGAGCCACCTTATATGTGCTAGGAAGTGAATCCAGGTCATCTGGAAGAACAGCCAGTCTTCTTAACCAATGAGAAAACTCTCCAGTGTGTGTGTGTGTGTGGGGGGGGGGTAGTTAATACGCTTGTGTACATGTTTGACACAGTGCACATGTGGAGGTCAGAGGACAAGTTGTAGAACTCAGTTATCTCCTTCTACTAATGGGTCCTGGGGATCAAATTCATGTTGTCAATTTGGGCAGCAAGTGTCTTCACACGCTGAACCATCCTATTGCCCTTTGATTAGTATTTATTAATAAATAAATTTTATCTGCTTGATCTTAATATTTTTTACTGTAAATTTTCCAGTAAAATATTTTTTTTAATCTATAATGTACTTTGAAGAGTCAGCAAATTTCTCTGTGTACATAAACATCATAAATAAAATCACAAATAAGCAATTGCAATGACAATTAGTAGAAACAGTATAAAAGTCATTCATTCTCCTGGAATTCCTAAGTTGACAATATTAAAGAATGGCCCCACATTGGAATCTATTCTCTATATTTAACGAAAAATCATTATCAATGAGTAATTTTATTAAAATTTAAATGATGAAAGAAAGTAATGTATTTTTTTGTGCCACGATGTTCTGAATATTAAATATAGCAGAGCTGGACATAGAAAGTGTACTATCTGCTTTGAACACTGGAGAAAATAAACATGTGAGCAACATATCATATAGACTCCAAGAAGGTCTTGCTGGCAGGTTTCTAGATAGTTGGTATGTGGAAATAGTATAAGGATTATAATGCTTTGAAAAGAGGAAGAAAACGAGTGAACAAATCAATGGAGAAAATGCAAAGTTCTTTTTATAATGAAATGAAAATCAATAATTATAATAGAACCTTTTGAGTGGAATATTTAATAGCACAAATATTTGATGATCCAACAAATGCTTAACATACTCTCAAAGAGCCTCCACAATCTGCACACTCATGTGGAAACTGTTGACTATATAATATACTCAATGAACACAAAATGATAAAGATTAACATCATCAGTACTGAGGGAACCTAATTTCACCTGCTTCATGATATTGCAAACTGATAAGTTTACAACAATACATAATAATATGAAAAAAATATATGACCCAGACACATTCATGTAAAAACAACAGAAGAATCCACTTTGGAATAGTCTAAGAGAATTAGCAGAATAGTTTTTGAACAACCATCATGTGCATACAACTTGGAAAGGCAGAGAACTAAATAGATTGCTTCCCTGTTATTGTGTAAGGGATCCATAATCAATCAGCCCACACCTCCCTGCCTTCCTTCCTTAGCACATGCTCTTCTCCCATGGAATCCTTTTAACACACTTGCTTTCTTCACTGCCTATCTCAATGGTTGCTTCTTATTATTATCTTTTTTAAGTGATCTAGTTTGACCTCAAAATGCTAGCATGCCTAAGACTCTTGAGATGATATCTTTTATAGTATATATTAGTTCATTGCAGTAGGTCTTCTCAATACTAGGGCTCTAGTCTTCTTTTACTCTCCCATCAGTCTCAGTATTCATCTCAATATCAGCTTTTGAATTTATGGACCTGTTGACTATTTAACCCTAGACTGGGCTGCTTCTTCGCAAGCTGATCCTTTTGCATCTGACCTCATCTCTTTGTACTGCTCTCCTAATTATTTGTGATGCTGAAACCATGTTGGTTTGTAGCCAGAGCTATCTCCAGTCCCACTTGGGCCAGCAGCTACTCAGACTCAAATAAACACACAGACACTTATATTACTTAAACTGTTTGGCCTAATGGCTCACACTTCTTGTTATCTAGTTCTTATATCTTAAATTAACCCATTTCTATAAATCTATACCTTGCCATGTGACTCGTGGCTTACCAGTATCTTATATCATGCTTCTCATCCACCTGGCTGTCAGCATCTCTCTGCCTCAGCCTTCCACTTCCCAGAATTCTCCTCTCTCCTTGTCCCGCCTATACTTCCTACTGGCTACTGGCCAATCAGCACTTTATTTATCAATCAATCATCCACAGCACTGGTTTCTCTTAATATATGGTTTATATAGATTCACATTCATTGTCCATAGTGATGGACTTCATAAAGACATTTTCATATGAATATATAATATACTTGGAACATACTCCCCTCCACAAATATAACAAATATTTTCTTTTATTAAGATTGTAATCTTCATACTTAACTTTCTTTTTTATTAAAGTAGCAGGAATGGCTGACTCTAATTTCTAATTAATATAAAATTTTACCCTCAAAGACAATTTTTATGTCCATCTTATCTTAGTTGGCCCCCAGGAACTTGGTAAACTTAATGAAATTCCCTGAGTTTTATTATCTTTGTAGTATCCACAAAGAGTAGAATTGGCCTGAATGAATTTTATAGTCTTTCTCCATCTTCATTTGTCTCAATTGTTACCCGTAGAAAACAGAGACTGCTTTGTTCATATATCTTATCATGATTTCCTATCACAGTTTTGGGGACAGGAGCCCCTTGATGAGGAGCTGATGAATAAATGAATGAAGTAGCAATCAATGTGTGATTTTCATATACTTTAGTTCTCTGTGGAGGGGTGGAAAGAGAATGTCTACTCTGTGATAATGTTTTTAGTATCTTATAAGGAAGCTACACTTACAAAATGTCAAAAACATGGTTTTCCTATGAGACCAGTCCAATGACAACACCAATGGACAACACCACGCAAACATGGAGAAGGGAAATCTCACAAAGCCCCACCCACTGATGAAAAGCTACAATGGCTGCTAAGAGAGGGTGGTTCAGTCTTCTTCATGGACCAGCCCCCTTGACATTATCAGTGATCAGCCTAAACACATATGCATACAGCCAACACTAAATAGACCCAGAAGCTGGTATGTATATCAATGCATATACATACACACATAAAATAATAACATATTAAAGAAAAAGAACTCATGGGAGGGAGTCGGGGAATGGGAGGAGCTGAACAGGGGAGAAGGGGGAGTGTAAAGGGTACAAATACAATACACATGTATAAGTTCTCCAAAATAAAGGAAGAGAATAGAGAAAAATACATGGGTGACCTGGGAGTCATTGGAAGTGAAGATGCAGGGCTTCAGGAAAGTCTTAATTAATTGTGAGCAAAGCAATATTCTGATAGGAAATGAGGATCTCAGTGTCATATAAAAGAAAGAAAAAGCAACAAAAGTATGGATAGAACTTTAGCCTAAAGTAGACAAAAGGAACAAGAGCTCAGACATTTCTTTCTGAGGAAGGAGGCATCAAGGAAGATTCAGACTGGTCATTTTGATTTATCTGTGCACAGTCATTGTAATGTGAATTGAAGGAAATTATCAGCAGAAACATTTCTCAGACACATAAAGAATATAACTAACTAGAGATATAAACAGGCTAACTTAAAGGAGAGACAGAATTTTATTTGAAAAGAAATCTTTGGAGGCAAGACACAAGCATTTTATGCCATTATGTATGGACTCTCAGTAGTTTCATATTTGGAATTTTAAGCAAGCCATCTCTGAACAACAGAGACTTCTGTGGCCAGAAGACTCATGATCTCAGCATTTAGACATCCTGACACAGTGACAATTCTGTCTTGGACACATGGGTAGGATGTTTGCTGATGGCGTACTTGTTTTTTATTTTAATGGTAATGAGTTTGGAGGACTCTGTGGTTTGCCTCACATGCCGTTCAGGCCATATAAAAGGACCCACACCTGGTTGCAGACTCACAATCCAGAAGCTCCTCATCTGCCTCAAGAAAACTCCCATTCCTGACAGCATGTGCTACGGAAACTACTTTGGTGGCCTGGGCTACGGCTATGGTGGCCTGGGCTATGGCTATGGTGGCCTAGGTTATGGCTATGGTGGCCTGGGCTATGGCTATGGTGGCCTGGGCTATGGCTATGGTGGCCTGGGTTATGGCTATGGCTGTGGCTGTGGCTCTCGATATGCATACAGCACCTATCGTCCATGCTGCTATGGAAGAATTTCTGGGTTCTACTAAGAATTTAGGCTAGCTGGCTCATTTTGAGTCATTTTCTTATAAAATCCCAGGGCACTAATATGTAGGAAAATTTATAATTTTACTTTTCAATAAAGCTAAATTTCTTTCACATTATCTACTATTTATTGTATGTTTTCATTCCTCACTGTCATTTGTGTATAATGTGTGTGTGTGTGGTGTGTGTGTGTGTGTGTGTGTGTGTGTGTGTGTGAGAGAGAGAGAGAGAGAGAGAGAGAGAGAGAGAGAGAGAGAGAGAGAGAGAGAGAAAGAGAGAGCGCCAACCTCTGGTCTTTAATCCACTATAGAGCTGTAGTTGGGTTGAGCCTCCTTTAAACAGAGGCCTGGAAGAGTTAAATAAAGGAAGGTACGACTGAACTTGTAAGGCTAAGATGGTTTATTTCCCCTGTTCAAATGTGGTCCTGAGCCTTCATAAAACTTCTGACTTGAATTAATTTGCATAACTTGTCCAGTTTTATAAAGGCTGAGGTAAGCACATGACTATATACTCCAACATGGCTAAATGAGAATGCCTAACATCTGTGCCCTTTTTAAGAAGAATGATGTGCATTAGGTGCTTTTTGTGGGGAGGAGCATGATTATGTTTTACAGATTTTTAAAAAACATTTTTTTAAAATGTTTATTGTGTATGTACCATATGTGGAGGCCAGAAAGAGTGTTGAATCCCCTGGAGCTGGAGCTACAAATGGTCATGAACCAGCCACTGTGGTGCTGGGATCTGAACTGAACTCAGGTCTTCTAAAAGAGCAAGTAACAAGTGCCCTTAACTGTTAAGCAGTCTCTACAACTCCAAAACGGAGAAATTTTAAATAAAAAAAGATCAATGTATAAAATTCTCAATTTTTAATAAAAATATAAATTTAGTATTTATAAAGATACCAATGTGGTGAACTGACACCTTTAATCACAACAAGATGTGATTTTTCAGAACAAGAGTGTAAAAGGTAAGTTAGTAATACTTTTCTCTTTCATTGACAACACATTTTTTTACTAATATTTACTTCTCTTTGAGCCCTGAACTCCCAGCATTAAGATAGGCTTTTTTTTTCTAGGCGCGTTGAGAGCAGAAGCAAGATTTCTTCTCTACAGGTTAAAGGCATCCTCAGAAAGATGCCCTCATTGTACGGCCGAGACCCTGCGAGTTAAGTGAGTTCATATTCCAAACAGAAGACATTTCTCAGGCTCTGCTCATTACCTTCTCTCAGAACAGATGCCCTTGGTGACATCCAATTTTAACTCTCTTTCTTCACCGGTATTCTGAGGAGAGCTTAAGAAATTCTCTGTAGAAAACAAAGAGGATCTGCAAGTGTTCCACCATCTCCTCCTGGAAACTTCCTGTCTTCCAAAGAAGGACATGAAGGTCTTGAAGCCCCCTTGTAATCAGGAACAGAGTTTCACAGATGTTAAAATATTCGATAAAAAAAAAAAAGGAAGCATGGTTCAATACGAGCACTAGGTGTCTGTGCTCTGTTTCTTCCCTTCAACCCCTTAGGTGTACCCTCAATGCTATCCCTCTCAAGTGCATGGCCTATTTTTCTTTGTTATATAAATATATAAATATAGTATGTTGAATTTGTTTAGTGTTATTTGTATGCATATGATTTCAGGTCTGACCACTTGGTGTATTAGTGGTCTTGCCAATTAGCAGTCTTCTCCCAAGGAAGACTTGTAACACGAATCTTAAAAGATCTTATTAATAAAAAAAAAAAACCTGGAGCCATATATTGGGGTGAAAGCTGAAACATCAGAGAAGCAGAACAAGACACAGCCAACCTCACCTTGCCAACTCCTCATCTCATCCTGTTTCCATGAATCCTCAGACTGAAAGTCTCTGAGTCCTCACCCCTGAGGGTATCAGCCTTATATACCTTTCTTCTTCCTGCCATCACTTCCTGGGATTAAAGGTGTGTGTCCTTCCCAAGCAAAGACATGAGATCTTGAGTGCTGGGATTAAAGGTGTGTGCCACCATACCTGGCTCTGTTCCCAGTGTGACCTTGAACTCACAGAGATCCAGATGGATCTCTACCTCCTGAGTGATAGGATTCAAGGTGTGTGCTACCACTGTCTGACCTCTATGTCTAATCTAGTGGCTATTCTGTTCTCTGATCCCCAGAAAAGTTTTATTAGGGTTTACAATACATTACCCACAAAGACTGTTTATCCTGTTCTTAGCATTCATTTATTGCCCATAGTTCTTTGTCGAGAGGTGGGATCCTATGTGATCTCCTCCTTCCGTGTTAGCATATCTATTGCTGTTGTTTTTGACCAGCTCTTGTCTAGGCAGCCATATTGTTGAGGTATCATGGATGAAGCTTCCAGTTCATTTCTAAGAGACACATTCTCACATATATTTCTTGGTCATTTGGCTCTTTGAATCTTTTTGCCTCTCTTCTGCAGTGTTTCCTGAGCCTTTGGTATAGGAGTTGTAGATATATCCATCGTGTCTGGGAAGTTGTTCTCTGCATTTTGACAGGCTGTGGTTTTCTCTAGTGGTCTCCATTTGTTGCAAAAAGAAGTTTCTTTGATGAGAGGCAAGAGCTACATTTTTCAGTGAGTATATGGATATTTTGAATGCAGTTAGGAGTAATGTTGGTTTGTTAAGTGGCAGGAGTGGGTTCTCCTTTAAGAGTCATGGCCTCACTAGTTGGCTAGGTTTCCAGGACTTCTGTTGAGTGGGTTTAATTTCAATTAGACAGTTGTTGATTACGTCATGATATGAGTGCTACTCTTGAACTCTTAAGGCTTTGTGCCGTACTGATCATTACTGTGGTTCATAGGTGTTACTTCTGGGTGGGACTACTGACTGCCTTATTCCAATGGCAACTTCTATAGCACCTTCACATACTTTGAAAGCTAGTCTTCAGGGAAGAGGATTTCATGTCAGATCTAGCTTGGATTCTCTGAGTCCTGTGTTCCAAGGACATGGTGTCACTAACAGTAGGGACTTATCTTCACCTTCTAAGAGGTAACCAAGAACAATAACAGTAATCTATATTGTTTGAGGAATATCTTGGATTCCCCTCATCGACAACTTGAAAGGGGGTTTCTTATGCCTCGTATTTAGGGTTTTGTTAGAAAATATATGATTCATGGGGGGATTATTGTCCAGCCAAGTGGGGGTAACATCATTTAAACTAAATATGTGTATTTAGTTTAAGTATGTGTATTTAAACTAGTTTATGTATTATACTACTTTATGTATATTAAACTTAAATATGTGTATTTATACACATAAACTTCCATGTATTATATGTAAATTGAGGTGAATAAAATATAATATGACTTCCTATGGCTTGTTGAAACATATTATCATTTTATCCTTTCCTTCCCTCTTCTTCTATATTGACCTGCCATCTCCTAATATTAACTGTTGAAAAATTACATTGTAGCAGGAATCTTAAAAGTTCTTATTAATAAAATCAAACCTGGAGCCAGGTATTGGGGTAAAATGCTGGATGGTCAGAGAGACAGAACAAGCCACAGCTATCTCACCTCACTGGATCCTCAGCTGGTCTTGTCTCCTCAGACTGGAAGCCTCTGAGTCCTCATCCAGAATGGGCCTCAGCTGAACTGCTGCTCAAAAGCCTGAGTGCTTAACCAGGCCAAATCCTTAACCAGGCCAAATGCTTCTAGTTTCTGGTCCTCACACCTTATATACCTTTCTGTTTCTACCACCACTCCCTGGGATTAAAGGCTTGCTTTCTGGGATTAAAGGTGTGAGTCACCATGCCTGGCTGTATCCTTGAACACATGGATTTCTGCCTCTGGAATGCTAGGATTAAAGGCGTGTGCTACCACTGCCTATCCTTTATGTTTAATATTATGGCTGCTCCGTCCCTGACCTCAGATAAGTATATTAGCGTGCACAATATTTGGAGGAATACAATACCACATTACAATGTTGACTAATTAGAAAAAAAATGATAATGATGGTACAATAAAGAATTTTTTCTCTACAATCTGTTCCTCTGAAGCCAGAATTTTATTGCTTTTTCTTAAACTATTGTAAACAACCATCTTACCAAATATTTAGTACTATACAATCTGAATCTTTTTTCTACCCTCCATTGAGAGTTACCCTCTCTATCTGCCTTTTTAACCTAAATCCAATATAATACTTACATATTAGTATACACCCTTTGCAGTTATTTTAGTGTGGTCAGTTTTGCTGAGGTAAAATTTCAAAAGCACAGATGATTTCAAGAGTCAAATGGTCATTTATCTCTTATGTGATTCTGGGTGGTCCACTAAGCATTGGTTCTTGTTTGTCATTCTGAGACCTAGTTAAAAGGACCACTCTCGAAGACATGTTGTGAGAAAGCTGGATAAGCTGGATTGCTGGGAAATATCTGATGTCTCACCTGCATCTCTCTAGATGTCTTACATATCACAACAGCTCATATTCTTCAACCAAACTTACTATCAGTGGAGCCGAGAATATAAAATATCTGTGAGGGAAAGAAAAAAAAAACATTTGGGAATAATGAATAAGTTATTATGCTGTAGCTTCCTGTGCAGAGGTAGATGCTGATCTGGTGAATGTTTCTTCTCGACACACTTATGATATGGGACTTGCTCTATCCACAGCAGCTTCACTAATGTCCACTTAAGCGGTCTGCCTCCTGTCATCTGAGCGTGTAGTGCACTCCACTCTGCTCTTGGCTTGCCATCAACTCTGCTTGCCTTCTGCTGCCTTCTCTGCCCATTCTTTGGTATTGCTTGTGTAATTGCAGCTTGTTTAAGCACAGTTCCCCAAGTGAATATTACAAGCAACACTCCAGGCTACCGGGAAGGAAAGACAAATGGATTTTTTTTCTCTGTGCTTGATGAGAAATGATGAAATGAGAGGAATAATACTGATACCTGCCACAGAGTACTTGTCACATGAAAATTTCTCTTCAATGTCCTGGACCAACATAAACTCGTTTACTTCTTTTTTCATAGCACAGGAACAACTTTAAATATCATTTTTATTACAGAA